TTGATGTGCATACATAACATTTCACCATTCATGCCTTGTACAGTCAGGCTCAATTTAAAAAAGAAGAACAGAAATTGTGTGAGGAATGAAGTGAATTTTTATCTTGATCTCCTTTATGCTATGTTATGAAAATGTATGTCAAGATTGCTAGCTTTTCTTTTGCACATTTCGCATACTGAATGCGAGGATTTTTACTGTAATGCTTGTAGGCGTTTAATTTAAGGGATGGAAACTTAATGAGCATGTGGATTTGGCGAGAAAATGAGACATTTTATGACGTTGCAGTAGTTTTATTTTTGTTTGAGATATACAATGTTGTGGCTTGGTGCTAAGATGAGTTATTGTCGGGGCTATCTCGTTATTTTTGATGGGAATTTTATGCAGAGGAGATTGAGGCTGAATGTTGTGGTCAGACACTTTTCTGTTTACTTGATAATGCGACATCAAAGTCATCGTTCTGTGCTATCTATCCTGAACATTATAAATGTACAAACCCTGGTCCTCAAATCACCTCATTGATTAACTCAGTACAGACTAAAAATAACAAATTGCTCTTAAAAAATCCTCCACAAAATTACTCAATTTTATGCCTTTTCCGAGATGCCCCATAAAACTTTCCATCGCACATAAACAAATTCAGACCCAAGCATAACAATTTAAAGAATTTATTTCCATCTTCACTCGATATCAACTAAGTAAAACAAATCTCCATGCTGTGCATGAAGACAAATCTTTGAAAAAGATAAATTCCATCCTAGAAAAATCATCAAGAGTGAATCTAAAACTATTTTAATTCCATTAAGTCAAATGTCTTTTTCCCTTCGAGACATAAACATTTCTTTCTCATTCCATATTCTCAATGTGGCTTTTACTCTCTCATTCATCTTTCAAAAGAGGACTTAAATCAATGGTTTTGGCCAAAGAAAAAATTTCATTGACTTAATAAAAGGAAGGAACTTTCAAAGAGTGTGTTTGGATGTGCGGTTTTATCAGAATGATCAAAGGCATTGAAATGAAAAAATCCATATCGATATAAGAAGCAGTAGGGGAGGTTAGATATACATGCTCATAAAATTCCAATGCCCATAAAAGTCAATAAAAGAAAAAGGATCAAATGAATGTTCAAGTCTAATTTTGAAAATTACATTGAGATTTGAGCACAAAAACAATATTTTGGGGTTTAAAATTTGTTTTTGTTGACTGAATGGGCTTGATGCTTTAGATTCAAATAATAAGAGTTGTGCTTAGTTTATTGAATATTCGCTTCATTCGATTTGAATAAATTTTTGGATTATTTGATTTGAGTAAATTTCAATCTTGTTGTTCATTAGAAATTCTGCCTTTATAATTACTTGCTTCAGTGGATTTTTCTTCTAGCTAAAGTTATAATCAGCAATTTAGTCAGTAAATTAATGGATTTTAGCGCATTTTCCTTTTTTGAACGACACCAATATACTGAGAGAGGCTTAGAGAGATTGAGAGAGACTTAGAGAGATTGAGAGAGACTTTAAGAGATTCAGAGAGAGACTGAGAGAGATTGAGAGACTTTGAGAAATTGAGAGAGACTTAGAGAGATTGAGAGAGAAACTTTGATAGATTCAGAGACTCTGAGAGATTAGGGGGGGATTTAAGAGATTGAGAGAGACTTTAAGAGATTGAGAGAGAGACTTTGAGAGATTGAAAGACTCTGAGAGATTGGAAAAGACTTAGAGAGATTGAGAGAGAATTTGAGACACTGAGAGAGAAAGAGAAAGACTGAGAGACTCAAAGATGTGCGACCCCTTGAACTTCTCTTCAACTACCACCTATTTCCTACCACAAATTCCCAAAAAAAGGCGCTCAATGCTTAAATATCTCACAACAACAACTCTACAGCACTCATTTTTCTTCTTCTGTAGCATGTGAAATGTTCATAAGAGATATAGCTAAGGGGTTCTTTATTTTCATCCAAAACTGCACATTCAAGCACATATATGTACATGTACACCAATAAATACACATAGAGTCAAGTTTTATAATCTCATTACGATGTTGCTCCAGATTTTATATCAACACAGTGAGTCTCTCTCTTTTATTTCGTACTAATCAGTCTTGATAGGATTATAAGCCCTCAATTCGTACCGACAACGAAGCACCAAAAAATTTAATCTCATTAAAGGAACTGAAGCTGAAGAATCAATCCAATTTTAGCTCAGATCTTCATTTTAAATTATTTGCAACCACAAAATACTCATGTCAAGCCAACTAAGTATCATAATATCTCATTTTTGGTATGCTGCACATCGACTCGAATGCTGTCGAAAATTGTAAAAGTTTTATGCGACGGAAATTTTAGTTGACGGTGAAAATAAACTTGATATTTTCACTGCTTGTGTTGTTTTGCGGGAATGAATGCACTGTTGCACCTGATGATAGAGAAACGTCAACATTCAGATGTTGTTAGGTAAAGGACTGAGGTTGGAGAAAAATGTTCAGAAATTTTAAACTTTTTTCAGATTTTTGAGGTTTGCAGACTCACTTTCCTACCCTCATTGGTGACACGAACTGAATGAAAAATTCAAATCCTTCGAAAAAAAAATCAATAAACACCCCAAACCTTTATCCTGAATTTCCCACAATCCATCCAACTTCTCAGACCACAATTTCATAGATTTTTCAGCTCACATAAAAAGGTGGAGAAACTACAAAATTCACTGAATCGCAAAAAAAATCCTTTTTCCACAAGAAGTTTAAGTTGTTGATGAGTAAAAAAAATTTGAGGTAAATCCTCGACTCGGAGATGGCAAAAAGAGGGTTTTGTACTTTATTTGTCAAGCACTTTTAAATTATAGAACTCATTTTAAGTTAGAGTTCTTCCATATTTTTGTCTGAAACGAGCGATAATGAATGCTATTGTGAGAGAGACTTGATTTCACATGACTGAGTCGAGATTTACGGTTTTGTGATTTTTGAATAGAAAATTCTGAATGTTTATTATGTTGATTTAATCCGCCAACACTTTTTCGCTTGAATATTTCACTGACTTATTGACTTTCGGTTTTATGAATTCAAAGGAATTCTGTTTTGTGGTACGATGCTTGTGGTTTGACATTTGTGCTAATTATTTCGAATTTTAGATGTAAATCTTGAGGCAGACATAAGAAGATTGACATTTTAGAAAGGGATTGAATCACAGAATTAGCTCCAGGGTGAATAAGAGGTTCAATCATTCAAACTCCTACGTCATGAACTTCCTTCTCAACTTACTATAATGAAATGTTTGACATAAGATCCCTTAATCCAAAAATGCTTGCAGATGACAAATTTAGGTAAAAAGATATTTTTCCCACGATGCTGTCCCCACACCAGCACACCTCCAAAAATTTCCAATCATCTAGAAATCACCCATATCCACACCTAGAAAAACTTTATCATTTTTCATGTCTAGAGTCAACACCTTCATCATCAACTCTTTCATATCTCCATGAAGATAAAACTTATAAATCAAAAATCATCGCCACAAACTTATCTCATAAATATAACAAGTTCAATATTCTTCTTGATTCGCCATCCAACATTCGAGATTAAAATTTATAACATCTTCAATAAATTGATAAAGTTTCTTCGAGCCATTCAACTTAATTCATTTCAGTTGCCATTTATCTTTTCACACATTTCTCGTCTTGTTCTAGTTTCTTTATCGGAATACATTGGGGATGGTTTGGATTTGATGTCAATAAATTTAATTTAGGGGTATAGCCTGGGGTATAGGTAAAGTGACGCCAGAGAGGATGTCATAGCTGGGACAGAAACAAAAGTTTGTTATACCGCCCAAGGATGGAATTTGCAAGGGAAGAGACGCACAAGAGCTCCAAAAGCTACTAGGCGTAGAACAGTGATGAAAGAATGTCAGCTTAATGTGCGGATAGATAATTTGTACAAACTAGGTGACAAAGCCAGCAACAGAGTCAAATGGAAAGCCTTTTGTTGTAACCTAAGCTGCACATAGGAACATGATTACAGTAAGTAAGTAAGTATAGTCAAAGTGAGAGGGTCTGATAAGAGCTTCATTGAGTGTGCTTTTTAAATTTGACTAAGCCTTATGAAGGAAGTTGCATTATGAAGTCCTAGAAACTGACCCTAGCTTATGTAGCATTGAGTTCAAGAATAAATATATAATTGTCGTGCACCCTTAACTACAGAATAACCTATTACTGTTAAGTACCACAGTAAGATTGGTAATCAACAAATATCACTATCAGATTGACGTCATTTAATGACAAACCCAAACTTGCCATTTTGAAAGCAAACGAGATTAGAAAATATTTTTTTTTGCAGTTTTGAGGATGAAGAGAAAATGGAATTAATCTGATGTTCAATATGTTACTTTAATTCTCATATACTTCAGGATTATACTATGGAATTTGTGGTGTATTAGATTTTATTGGCCCATTGCAGAATAAATTGAAACTCTGATGTAAGAAGTTGATGGCAACTAGACGTTAGAACCCAAAGGTTCCATTAGGGACAATTTCGAATGATGGTCTGCAACACAATATCATATCCGAATTGAATGAATTTTCGGCTAATGGCTATTCACAAATTGAGTATCTAAAGCACCTTCATCCCTCTAATATTATCTTTAAATAGTGTAGATCAGTTTAAAACCCTGCATAAAACAGCCAAAAATATTAAAATTAATTAAACTTTAAGTTTGATTCTTCAAAACCCACAAATCATCTTAAGCATCTCCAAAAATCCCTATTCCAAATTATCAATTCCATCAAACTCCCAAAACCCCTCAAATCGATAACAAAAGTCAATTCCCACAGCACACATGTGTACACATCCATTCTAAAATAAAATATATATTTTTGATTGTCACCAATAAATTTTCGTACAATTTGAATTCCACTATCGAACAGCAAATCACCTCCTCATCGACATGTTTGTATGTGTCACACGAGAAGCGACACAAATAAAATGAAAATGTCAAGCCTAAATTGCTTAGTTGAACTTACCCCATTTTTCTCACAAACACCGCCAGCATTTTTTAAATCGCCTGTCCATGCAAGTCCCAAAGTTCCCATTTCGAAATCTCGATAGGTGAACATGTACGCCAAGCAAAATTGATCGTAGTCTTCCTCTGTAAATAAAGAAAATGGATGGATGAGAAATGGATAGAATAATAAATATCAATTCGGTGATGTTCTTCTGTTGGTATTAAAAAATATAGTTTAAGAGTAAGTGAGAGATAGACAAGGACATGTAAGTAATGGAGGACATGAGAATTAAAGAACCTTTCTGTCATGTTTGTTGGACACAAAAATGTGCACATTAAGCGGAAAATCGATTCGATGGAGAAATAATTAGGAATGTAGAGGGTCATTGTCGCTTGACTCCTGATATGCATGATAATTCTTATCTATTGAATCACCAAGATGCGCATTAATCCCAATTCAACAATAAACTTCTTCCAGAACATCCCATTTATTCAATCCCATAGCCCAATCTAATTTTCATTCATGTAAAATTTATCAAGCTTCGAATATTCCTCATTCAATATTATTATAGCTAAAAAGTTCACTTGGGAATATGAACGAATAATAAAAAATTATTCGGGACGTGGGGGTCATTCAGTATAGGATGGCTATTTGGTTCTATTTCAATGATCGAGGAGGGTTTATGCTCAATACATCTAAAGATATTTCATGTTTAAGGGCTGGTTCGGAAGATTATCCATGAAACCTCATCATAGAACTACTCTTTTGGGTACAAATTAAATTATTACTGTGAATGACTTATACCCCCCCCCCCCTCCCCTTGAAACGCTCCCTACATAAATATTTAGAGGGAGAGACGTAACTTCCAAACAATCCCCAAACACAAAAAAAAACTTTGAAATAAATGGAATATGCAGCTTGTTACACGACATAAAAAACTTTCTCATGGACATTTTTTTTTATATTCAATGCACAAAAGATTTACATGACTTGTTCACTTTTTTATGCTGCTGTAGAGGAAATTTTCATATAATATAATTTTTTTGTGACTGTCTGGGGATAAATTGATTTTGGAAATGAGACGAATAAAAAAATTTGTCAAAGTAAGAAGAAGTTTTTTAAAATGATGAATTGTAAATTTTGGAATGAAGCTGTTCACTTGCGACGTCCGGGGGGGGGGTCAGCAAAAAAGAACAGTAAAAATTCCTGGAAATCCATTATTCTTTTTTGAAAAATGACCGTTAATTTCTGACGTCATAATTAGGGTTTTATTAAAAATATCTATAGATATAAATTGTGACTTTAAATGTTATTCTTAGTTACATAATTTAATTCTAATGGTCAACATCTGACTCCAAATTTTGCTTCCTAAAATAGTATGACCCCTCCACTCCTCTCCCTCTCTTAAACATGCTAGAAAAATCCAGACTATTAATAATTTCAGCATATTTCATTGAATTTCATAACGGAAAAAAGCATAAAAAGGAAATGAAATTGTTTAAGAGTGGATAATGGAAACAATGTAGTCCTCTAGGAAATTCATGCATGCGACTAGCTTTTAAAACAGTCATATTTTGGGTAAATTATGACCACTATTAAATATGCAATTCTATTTTTTTCTGCGGTAATGGAATTGAACAATTTTTCATTTGTAGTAAGAGGATTGGGAGAATTGGATGGTAGTAAATTTTGATCATGACATTTCTGTTATATAAATGGTCATTGAAGCTTTGAATATAGGTTTTAAGGCATGATGTTTAAAGAAATTTTGTGGACCCTCAAACCTCCCCCCCCCCCTCCACCCTCTATCTTTCGCCCTTATTTTGATGAGTCTCCACAAAATGATGAATCCATCATCTAAAGCAGTGGTTATCAAACTATGTGCCGCAAAAAATTGATTGCTAAAATATTTTCATGTTTTATAACTTCAAAAAGGTCATAAAAAGTGTTTGGTGTGCCGCGAGACTTTTCAGGTGTGCCACAAAATTTTTATGCAAAAAACGTATCATGGACAAAAAAAGTTTGAGAAACACTGTACTAGAGCTTAATCAAGCGCTCCTAGTTCAATCCACCATGCCATCAATCTCACTAGCTTATTTACAATTCCTTCCATTATGATTATATTCATTTCTTATTCCAAAATGAGATTGCAGAATGAAGAAAAAGTCGAAAGGAATCGAGAGAAAGATTTATTTGCATTCTAGCGCATAAATTCATTCGACTGAATCTGAATAATTCAGGATATTAATTGAAAAAGATGAGGAAGTGCTTACACAATGAGAAATGCAGAACAAAATTATTTTTCTATTATTGTGGGGAGGCGATGAATAATATTTTTACTAACTCTCACTCACTATAGCACCATTGTAATTTGCTTGCGGAAATGGATGTGCGAGGAAGAGAGATGGAAATATATTTATATTTGCATAATCATAAAATCATGAATAATTTTAAAGGATTATAAAAAAAATCGAGAGAAATGAAAAATATTTTATGGATATGTACACAAATTCACATATTATGTACGAATATATGGCATGGTACTTTATTTCAACAATAAAAGCTTTGTTATTTGTTGATTTCCCTTCTTTTCTTCCTCAGCTTTTTAAGCCCATTTTGTTTTAGAAATGTGCTGATTCTTCTTGTTCTGTTCTCTGTTTATTCCATTCTCTGTTTACTTTCTTGTGGTTGGTTTGCTAAAGGTTGCTCGGATGATTGGATATGATTCGGGCTGAATATCTCTCTGATTAAAAGCTCATTATTTTAAAGGGATGCAAAAGAATTTAGTGAATTTTTGGAGGATCTAGTGGAGCTTATGAGGATCTAGTTGAGCTCATGAGGATCTAGTGGAGCTCATGAGGATCTAGTGGAGCTCATGAGGATCTAGTGAAGCTCATGAAGATCTAATTGAGCTCATGAGGATCTAGTTGAGCTCATGAGGATCTAGTGGAGCTCATGAGGATCTAGTTGAGCTCATGAGGATCTAGTGGAGCTCATGAGGATCTAGTTGAGCTCATGAGGATCTAGTTGAGCTCATGAGGATCTAGTGGAGCTCATGAGGATCTAGTGGAGCTCATGAGGATCTAGTTGAGCTCATGAGGATCTAGTGGAGCTCATGAAGATCTAGTGGAGCTCATGAGGATCTAGTTGAGTTCATGAGGATCTAGTGGAGCTCATGAGGATCTAGTTGAGCTTATGAGGATCTAGTGGAGCTCATGAGGATCTAGTGGAGCTCATGAGGATCTAGTTGAGTTCATGAGGATCAAGTGGAGCTCATTTAGATCTGGTGGATCTCCCAAGAATCTAAAATAAGCATAAATAGAACTTAAGAAGGTTCTAATAGAATTTAAAGAGCTCAAAGATTTTTCACAGCCCACTCAAAAGCTCATACTTCGTCTTCAAACAATTTTCCAATCACATCCCTCCATCAAGTATCCAAAACGTCACTATTTCATTTCAAATGCGCCACAATCTTTCAACTCCAATCCCTCTTTAAACCATCATTCCATCCAGCGCCCACAAATCTCTCCCATTCCCAACCTTTATCATGCTGATTCAGTATCTATGCATGTTATGTACTCACATTATTATGAGTCATAATAAACGAAGTGCTGTTCTATGTAAAAGCAAAACAGAAGAATTAAAGGAAAGAGAATTGAATGGAATATAGTTCAACAACAACAACAGCAAACAACAAACAAGCACATCCTTTTTTGTTTGAGAACTTTTTGCAGTTCCTCTTTTACTTTTTTTATTGTTGTGAATTAAAAAGTTTCGCATTTGTTATGAAATATTGACAGTGATGTGATGTGTGAAGAAAGAAGAAGCTTATAGGAAGTGTTTTTGAGGGATTTTGGTTGAGTGTGGAATTGAGATTTTTATGAAGGAATTTGAGTCTTTAAAGATTTTTAGATTTAATGGAAATGATGAGATTGCTGTTGGTGATGTGATTTCAGAATTTTTGAAGGTTATTTTTGGTTGTTTGAGAATATAAGAAAGTTAATAGCTAAAATGGGTATGAAAGAATGATTTAAGGAACTTAATACTTATAAAGTGAATCTTCTAGTTTACAAATTTATATATTATCAAAAAGATTAGCTTAATATAACCATCATAAGCAACTACTATGCATAAATCGAGCAAACAACTGAGATAATACACCCTTCACAGGACTGTGCACATAAGCTCTAATAGCTGCGACGACCTTCACTCTAATTGAGTTTCTGTACATAGCAGCGGTAGGTAAAGCAACTTCTAAAAACAACAGATGCTAGTAAAGCTAGTTAATAATTCATTTAAATCCTCTTTTGCATTGTAATTAAAATTTTAAATCTTCATTTTTCTAGTCATAGTCACTTGGTGCATTAAAAATGATATTGCCTTAAGGATGCTGTCGTATTTATAAGTTTACGACAGCGGATGTAAAGATATGCATCTTAATTAAATTTTTAAGTTTATGGATTAATTTTAGAATTGTTGTCATTTTGTGACTAGGTATGTTCTATGATGGATTAAGCTATGTAAGGTTTGAGAATCGAACTTCAGAAAAATTATCAAAAATCTCAAAATTCCTTAGCGATTTCACTTATGATGTCCAAAATTAACGGTCATTTTTCAAAAGAGAACAATGGATTTCCAGGTATTTCTATTGTTCTTTTCTTACTGACCCCCCCCCCCCCCCCCCTTGGACGTCATAAGTGAATGGCCCCTTAAAATATATAGTTTAAAATTTAAACATCCTCAAAAATCTCTTAATTTTGTTAATCTATTTCTCCATTTTATTGCTACCCAAAACTTCCATCAAAACTCCAAAATCCCCAGCGAAAAATTTATTGCAAAAATAAAATCATAAAGCCATTTCTCCATCAATTACATGTCGAATTATGGTCACTAACTTACTGCCACACATAATTTATTCAGACTTAAATTTTTTTATCATCGTCCAGCACAGAGAGAGAAAATTTTACCCTACATTAAATTCCATCATAAAAAGTGCTTCATTCTCTCAGCTAATCCTCCTCTTTTTGCGATTATTTTTTTTATTTTCGACATGAAAAATTGTGCTTGTACGGAAATATTTTTTAGAGATTGTGACAACATTTGGAGATCATAAAAGAATGTAAATAGATTTTATTTTGTGGCTATGAAAATGGGTGGAGGCTATGGTGATGGAATCTGAGATAAAGTATCTAGAATATATTGTTTTATGATGAACGGAACTTGTGAATGAGCCCTCAAATGACTCATTTTCCTTCTAATTTTTTAACGTTTTTCATAAATTATGTCTAACAATCAAGGAAGGTCTGTCGTCAGTCAATAAATCTAATTTAGTTTTTGGACGTCATTTACAAACAACCCTCACCAAATCATACAAAAATAACATATCTCATGAGATTTTACCCCAAATTTACTGTTAAAGTACGTCGTCAGAAGAATTTCTGTGTTACATCCACAATATTTTGATACTAGAATAAACAAGAGCAGCATCATGTACAAAAGTGAATAGAACAAAGTTTTACAACATTCATTCATTTCATCAGCACACACAGAATGTAAAACATGAAAAAAAAATGAAAAGTTTTCATTTCTGTGTGAATATTTCACAGTTTTGCGGAGCTTGAATAAAGTATGAAATATGAAATGAAATGTTCATGTTATGGTTGTTAAAAGATGGGGGAATTGGGGTGAAAATTGAATAAGATTTGGAATTTACATATTTTTTATGAATTTATAAGGCAAACTTAAATTTAATTTATGTCTAGACTTCATCAAATTTCAACCCTAACCTCCTCAACTTCAATAATTCTCATTGAACTCATGCCAAAAAAAAAAGGCAAAATATTTCATTACTCTTCTCGTTAATCTCACTTCCAAAAAAATGTTTATACTTCCATATAAATGATAAAATAGTATCCATAACATAATAAGCAACTTACCTGAGAATAATTCCAAAAATTTCTCTACACCATAGTTGCCTGGAAAGCGATATGATGGATCCTTTAATGCATTCGAGTTGTGAATTTTTATACGCTTGATCATAAATGTTATATTATCAGGTTTTCCATCGCTATTAAAGTCTGTAAATGAGAATAAAAAAAATATAATGCTTTAATTTGAAAAGTTCTGTGTTCTTTTTTTTGAGTATATGAATGGATGTAGAGTTTTTTATGGGTTTGTATAACATGGCGTGATGATGATGATGATGGGCGATGCAGGGATGGATTCAAGTTGATGATTAGGTAGCGAACCTCCTTTTCCCTCGTAATTAAATCTAAACAGCACAGGGTTCATACATCCTAATAATCTTACTAGGTTCCTAGCTCAACCCGTAATCAGCACCTCCTTGCTCTCCCCTTCTACAAATCAAATCCCTTCAATAAACGTATCCACCACTCATCTTGATGATGATTACTTCTGTCTGTCCTCTAGATTGAAAACATGAGAAATATGTGACCATTGAAGCTTACTACAGCTTTGTATGTTATTGTTTTGGCTTTGAAACTATCGCAGAACTTTCCTATGTGTTCGTACTTCCATGTTTGGTATATACCAAAAAAAATCACAAAAAAGCTGAAGTGGAAGTGAAAGAAAAGAAGAATAAGCAATATTAGCCACACAACAAGCTTTGTTAAAATTTTTGTTCTTTTCTCTTTTCCATTTTATTTCCTTTCATCATTAGAGGCGCACAAAAAAAGCGGAATGGAAAAAAAGAGGAATTTTTTTACAAAGTCGCTGCACGTACAAGGCATTAAGCCTCGAAGGGGAAGCAGAAAAAAAAGTTTTTGTATATAAAAAAAAAATTCTTTGTTCATATTGCTTGCTTGAGCTTCGTGGGAGTGAAGTGACAAGGTGTGAAAAGTTTTGGGATATTTTTTTGGATAGAATTGAGATGCAGTTGGTGTTTAAGGAAGGTCATCGGGAGGTGAAACATTTTCAAGGTTTATCTGAGACTAACTTTAAGTATACAAGTATTCAATGGCACTAAGGGATAAGACAGGTCCTGTTTCTCAGGATGAATTTTTTATGGAGTCGAGTCGACTTTGCCATGCAAAATCGATGAAAATCTCAAGTCGACTTCGAGCTCTGGTCAAAATAAGCCTTTATTCCTGTTTATTGCTGAATTTTATTAATTTTAGGGCTTGAAAGTGGTTAAAGTGGTTTAAATTGCTTGAAGGTTCAAGATTGCCTCTGAAGAAATATCCAGACAAAATTCAAAAGCCAAATCCTGTTGTGTGCCTTAATATACTTCCTAAAAATAACAAATTCATCAGTTCCCACCCCCTGCATCCTCTCAAGCAAGACTCTCATTTTCATAATTACGTTATTTTATTTTGCATTAGTTTTCAAAGACTTTTTTTTCCTGCCATACTCATGAGCAGCAGAAGTAGCAGACGAAAGAATAGCGAAAAAAAAAGGTGACCCTGAGTCAGGTAGAATAAAAAAAAACATATATAGCACATAACATACAGCATAAACACATTGTGTGCCCTTAAGGAAAAAAAATCTCGATAACGTTCACGATTATGTAATCACATTCGCATTTTGATGGCGCAAAGCAAAAAAGAAGACGAGTGGAAAATTTTTTAATGAGATTGAAAGTTTTTCGTGATGAAGGAATTTTTTGCTTGGGATAATGAAAGTTCTACTTTGTACAGGCATTTGCACGTGCGAAACTTTTTTTGTATTTCTCGTTTCATTTATTAAAACACATAGAGTATAAATTGCTGGGAAAAAGTAAAAAGTTTGTTTTTATTTTTTTGAGGATTAAATCAATGTTTACACTTGAAATGAGTAGTTGCTGTACAGTTGAATTTAGTACACGAGAATGATGGATTTTATGAGTTTTGATTTTTGTTGGAACTATTTGAATTTTTGAGAGATTGCTGAGCTATTATACATGAGCTATGCCTCCCCTCCTCGAAAAAACTCCTGAAAGCATCCCTAAATAAGTATAACCATGAATTAGAAGAACCTAATTGCCCTTTAAAACTCACCTTACCATAAAATCACGCAACCAAAACTCACACTCCTCTCAAAACTTCCATTCAATTAAAAACTTTTTCAATCACTACAAAAATTTTACACAGCAATTATCACAAAATGGACTAACAAATATCCATATGGTCTCCATGCAATCCATTGAATTCTAATTTCCATATCCGCATAAAATTGTGGAAATTTCAAAAAAACTTTTATTTCCATTGAAAATTAAAATAAAAATCGTTTAGTTAAAGGCACTTGAAAGACCAGACACAAAAAAGGATTGCTGCAAAAAAATCTGCATTTGAATAGTAAAAAAAAACTTTTTATTCATCTCTCAGAAAAAAAGGAAACTTTCAGCATATTTACATACATGAGGATGGGAAAGAAATGCTGTGTGTGTAAAAAAAATGTTGAAGCCATTAAAAAAGTTTTTTTATTCTGCAATTTTTAGTATTGTCGAGTAAGTTTTAAGGGGAGATGGTAGTTAGAAGTTATTTTATATCCGTCTGAATGTTTTGACAAGGATGCCTTCTGGTGAAAAAATAAAAGTTTGGATTTGAAAAACTTTTGAGGGGACGACAGGAGTCAGAAATTGGGGCATTTGACAAACTTTTTTTGAATTTTTTCAAATGAGTACTGAGAAAGCAGATCAAGTCGATGCTAAAGGAACGACAGGAACACGCACAACACTGTAATCTAGCTCTAGAACCATCCTAGCAAGTTTTGGTATCAATTGCCTTGAACAGTGTTGATACCTAGCACGTGGCTTTAAAAAGGTGGACTTAAGCGTAGGCAATTCGTAATCAAAAGCAGAAGTCTTTGTCAAAGCCAATTTTTTCGACTTTGCCTTTTTCGAGCCTTTGGAAAGGCATAACTTTGCTAGATCAAAGGCAAAATCTGGGCAAATGCAACTTTGTATCAACACTGGCCTTGAATTAGATTTCAAGAAGAAGGAGACAGACTTGGATACACCACTGTCATACAAACCAAATCTACAAAGCACTGAACTCCAATCCAAAACTTTACTTATTGAAATTTAAATAGCAGAAAAAGGATAAACTGAAAATAATTTCATCCTTATCTTATAAAGCTTCATTAGTGACTGCATAAAATGTTTTATAAATGATGCTTGAAAATAAAATTAAATGAATTTTTTTTATCACAAGAAGAAGTTAAAATTGAGTTTTTTTTCTGGTTCTGTGAACTTTGGGTAGTTCTTTTGTTCCTTAATTAATTAAAATTATTTTGTAAATTGAATTTTTTTCAAGTTCTGCTAAGGATGAAGTGCTGAATAATTTCAGTATAAGTTAGTGCTTGATAATCAATGGATTTAAGCACTTCCACACCCTCTTAAATATCATAAACCTCATCATAACCGGAAGTGAAACCCAACCAACATAATAATATTAATAAATCTCACCTGTATTCTTATAAATCACATTAGCACGCTGAACATGTCTCGTTATTGCCTCAATGCTCGCCTCATCCGAACCAAGTTTCTGAAAGAACGTATGATCTGCCTGCAGATACAACATACACGTGCTCTTCCGATCAGCCAACGATCCACTTGTCGTTGCTTTCGTATTCATCATATCCATAATATCGTTCTTAATATTCGAATTAACATTATGTTGCGGATGATATAAATGCGGATATTGATTGTTGTTTGGATGATGCTTATTATTATTTTGAGGCGGATTATTATTGGCATATATCAAGTCAGGATTATAATTGTTACTGATAATATTTGGCTTCTTCGTTGGGCCATTTTTCGTTATAAGCTCAACATGAGTCTTATGATTAGGCCTCGAATTTACATTCATCTGCTGATTCGTTGCTGTAAAATTATTATTTATGCGATTCGTGCCGTCACTAAAGACATTTGACAGCACATTACGATTGGTTTTTGTAATAATATTACGTAAATTATAATCACTATTCGGATTGTAACTGTTGACTAAAATATTTCGATGATTATTATTCGAAGTTGCTATTGTTGGCGATGGCGCTTGATCACTTTGATATTGATCATCGTCATCATCATCATCCTCATCATTATTTTCACTATTAACATTTATATTTAAGCGGGTGTTGTAGGGTGTCTCTAAATCCAATGGAAGTGGAGGCTCGTGTCGATCTCGTGACTGTAAAGAATAAAAAAAAGACATGAATTGTGATTAATTAACTGGAAATAATTAGTCTTTAGGCTTTAGGATTATTTTTATTTTGTTGTCTGCCGCTTGTGTTAAATGAAGAGTGTGTCTGTAAAGGATTGTCGGAATGAGGAAGATGTAAGATAAGGAAGTATTGAATATTGTTTTGTCTAGTGTTTATCTGAAGGACAATTGTTACGCTTGAGTAACTGAAACACTTAAAAATGCATTCATTAATTTTTTGATAGCTTTAGCAACCCCACCCCCCCCCCCCCCCCCCCACCCCCTCTCAAATAATTTTTTTGAATTTATTCAGTAAAAATCTAGATAACCAAGTGCATGAGAAGACAATCATAAAAGTATCCATCAATACCTCAGCTGGTATCAACTTCAAACCCCAGGGATATTCTCACCATGAAACCGCGTTCAAAAAACATTCAATAGCATATCCATAAGAACAAGAAGAAGCAAATAATGAATGAAAAAAAATGTGAAAACCATAAAATCAAATTAAATCCATTCGTCTTCGAAAGATAAGAAGAAAAATATTTCTCCTTGACTGTTTCCTACTTCCGTTCTTCCTTCACTTATTATCTCCCGCCTCACTATGATAGCAATCGAGGGTAATAAGGAAAATTTTTCTTATTTTTTAAAAAAATCTACGAAGAAGCAAAAAATAATGTTCAATTGAAGAATTTAAAATAAAATTGTTTGCTTTTCTTTCGTCCCTTGTGATGGAACTGGATGCTATAAAACAATGGCGTGCAGTTAATTTGAAAAGACTTTTATCAGTTTTTATGTGACATTGAGGAGTCGATGAAAAAATATGTTGTTTTAATTGAATTGAAATTGATTTATGGAACTAATAAGGAGAGTCGGAATGAATTAATGGGAGGTTTGGTATAGTTGAATGAGATGGTATAGATGGAATTTCAGAATATTGAGTAAGATTATTGGGATTATGATTGTTTTCTCGGTACTGCTGAGCATGTTGTGTGTCTGATTGGGTTTGAAGCTGGTTTTGATGATTATTAGCTTGTTTTCTGCAATATTAGGTGAAAAGACGAACAATAAGGTTCACTAAAGGCAGACAGTACACTTAAAAGCAACAAAAACCTAATCTCGATCATTCAAATCACAAAATTCAAGCATACAGCTGCAAACCATCGAAATTCCCACAAAGCGATCGCAGAATAATTAGAAATAAATTTTCCAACCCAAAAATTATCCCCGTATCAAGAGAAATCCCCTTTTGTCATGAACTAATTCACAGACTTGTAATTCTTTTATCTCCAAAATTTATTCCCTCATTGCCATTCCCTTATCAACTCGCAAAATTAAAATAAACCTCATATTTAAAGCAATCCGACCAAAAATACTTTATCATAAAAAAGGGAAAAAAATGCGGTTAGGCATAAAAAGTTAACTTATTATCCGAAAACTCAAATGCGTCCCAAATTCCAATAAAATGAATTTTAAATCAAAGAGCATGAAACGAGAAACTTTTTCAATCCTTTGAGGATCTTTTCTTTCTTATTCCATGACTTAAAACGAGAACTTTCTTATCACGTCCTTTTCCTTCTTTTGTATTCCCTCAATTCATTTTCATAATCATATCTATTTAAAAAGTTCTCGCAAGGGATTTACTTGCTGCTTTCTTTTGTTTCGATAAATTCTTCTTGTTATTCGTATTGCTGCCATATCCGCTACGTTCATCCTCGACGTTATAACGAGAAAACAATTGTGATTCAATAGTCATCGATTTACGATGGTGCTGGGCGAAGGGGGAGGATATACAGCGAATGAGGAAGCGTAAAAATAAAAGAATGGAAAAATTCAATTTCAATTCTTATGGATACAATGTTGTGTATTCTCCGTGAAGATATGAATGCATGAGGACGGATCGAATGTATAAATTTATATTACACGATGAAAAAATGTTTTTTTTTTGTCGATTTTAAGCGTGGATTTTTGAGGAGCTTGAGGTGCATTTTGGCAAAACTGATAAAAATGTTGGGGACGTAATGTACCCAGAGGGGGTCTGTTTGGTTGTGAATCAAAATTTAAAGGACTCCCGAAATTTCATGACCCTTCCCAAAAACATATTCAATAGCAAAGTCACTAAAGAAACATGAATTTCTTCCTCATTAAATGCGCTTTTACTCCATTCCACTATAACAATCATCATCCACACGACTTTTTCAATGTCTCTTCTTACACCAACATCCACTGCTAAGCTCATGCTCTCTCGCGCGCGACTCGAAAAAAGGAATTAAATTCTCGAATGTAAGAATAAAGAAGAATTTATAAAAAAAATCATCACAAAAGGCACGAGAAGAAAAAGTATTGAATTCAACATTATTTCTGCTTTACATCTATGCAGTGACCCAGTTAGCGTGAACTTCCTTCTCCATATATTTTATTTTTGCTTGTTCCCTTTGAGGTTGAAATAAATTTTGATGGAAAAAACAATGAAAAAATTAAAAGGGATATTTATGAGGTTGGATGTTGGGGAGGAGTAGGTTGACGGTTATGAATGGGTGTGGATTTTTAGAATAGAATTGAAAGCTTTAATGGTTTTTTTTGGATATTGCTTAAATGTTCGAAGGGAGGGGGTCAGATATTTTTGGAGAGGAACAAGGATCCTAAAGGATAAAAAAATTCTAAAATCATTCAAGTACATCCTAATGGACCTCACGACACAAAATTACTCTAAGGGAATAATCCACTCTCCCATCAAAATCCATGGAATTTAAAGGATATCAGAATGGAATTTAAAATTCAGCATTTTATATTCGAACTGAATGTCTCACATTAAATCCCAACTTCCCAACTGGGTAGCGTTTGCGAGAAAGGAAAGAAAATTTCCCCGATAAGCATTATATTTCACTTAAATTTATTTGAATTTATTTACATTCGTTCTTGCCTCAAAACTTTTCTACTCGTGCTAGAAACAAAATTGATGGAAAAATCGATTCGAATTTAAATTACAACTTTTTTTTATGTGTATATGTGTGAACGTATCGGAAGTGCTCGTGGCAATGGGAATAAGAAATGTAGATAAAGAATTTTACGTTGTAATTTCAGCGGATTGAAAACGGGAAATGAGATATTGAAGAACTTAATTAAATTAAATTAAATTGGAATAAAATAAAATCTTTCGGACCGAGGGATTTAAATATCCTTAAATTGAGAGCTGCTTGTTGGTCCTCGAGCTTTTTGAATGGAATGGGAGTTTTTTTAAGAGGAAATGATTCAAAGGTTTTTCCACAAAATAAGGATTTTATTGTAATTACTTGTAATCTGGACTGCTCTAGGGGATTATTTTATTAAATAGGAACATCTTTTGTAATTAAAAAATTTGAAAATTACTTAGATAATTAGCAGAATACAGCAACATGTTCAATGTGATTGGATTCAATTTTTTTGGAACATTATTGTGGCTGTACCACTCAAAGTGAGTTGAAAAGCATGACAGTCTCGTGATAAATCCTCTCCAATTTTAGATAACCGAAGACGAAGCTATTGGCTTGTTCCTAATAGCCTAGAATTTAAATTCAAAGTCCAATCTTTTAGGGTATCCCGGTTAGCACTATAAACTGTACCCAGATATCTTAAATAAAATTTTATTTCAACCCTTGCATGAAAAAACTTTTGCTACACCCCTGTAAGTTTGATACTTAATCAAGCTCTCATTTAATAAAGTATTAATCAATAAATTCTCGAAATTACAACAAAAATATCAGTATCTCTAGATCCTCTCATTAGTATCGATATAAAAGGCATTTAGTCAAAATAATGTTTTAGTATAATTAAGTTTTCTTCTTGAAAATAAAATATTGTGTTGAAAGCGGGTTATTGAAAGTGGGTGATTAAATATTCATAAAATCGTAAACATTTTTTGAGGGTTTGAACAGTAAAACACGTGTTAATGAAAACTTAAAAGAAATTGTTTAATTATTTATGTAGCTTGTTGTAAGTTGTTGATTATTTATGTCCATTTTAAAGCACTTTCGCATTAGCATTAGAAGTAAACTTTTATTGAGTTTCATTGCTTCTTGTTTAAGTTTAGAATTCTTAAGAAATCCTTTTAAATTAGCAAATTTCACAAGCCATTAAGCTATCATCAAAATAACAACCACTTAAAATATAAAATATTCATAACTTCGCATCTTAATTCCTCGAAATTCATCAACCGTAGCTGCCGAAAATAAAACACTTTTATATCATAATTAAATGTCATTAAAGATGTGATTAAAATTCTCATTCTAATGAAATTAAGAAGAACGTCATCATTTAAATGACTCTTTGTGACTACAAAAAAGGTTTTTTATCTCAATTTCGTATCATGATGCTCATCCAAAATCAGGTCACACAGGAGAAAATGAATAAAAAGCATAATTTTTCGTGATTTAATTAAAGCTAATGAGGATCATTAAGAAAAATATGAAAAAGTGTCCTTGTGATGATTTTTTTAATTCAAAGGATTTTGACGATTTCGTGAAATTTCATTTTTTTTGGTATTTTAATTTTTTGAATTTTTGAACTTTTAAATTTTTGAGTTTTTGAATTTTTGAATTTTAAATTTTGAATTTTTGATTTGTTTTGAATTTTTTGAATTTTTGAAATTTTTTGTTTTTTTTGAATTTTTTGAATATTTTAAATATTTTGAATTTTAAACTGAATAATCTTGCAGCAATTGACAAAAATTCTTTCTAACTTCCTTTGATGAAAACAAACGTTTATTCTTACCTTTAGCCATCGTTTCATGCGCTTATGAGCAGTGTCAGCATTACCCTGATTATTGCCTCTCCTGCTGCTACTAATTATGTCTTCATCATGACCGTTATCATAATGATTTGATAATTTAAATTTATTATTATAAGGATTATTAATATCAGACTTTTCATTCACTTTATAATGATTATATAGAAAACTTTTATCATTTTCATCATCATCACTTTCCTTCATTTTTCTATATAATTTTTCACTAGCACAATGCGTCTCATGATCACTCTTATCTGTATTATGTTTATGCACATCCATCTTCACATCACTCAATTTATAAATTATTGTATGTACGCCATTCTTTCCTAATTCTTCGGAATATTTATCTGATGGTTCGATGTAATATTGTTCCATTCCAGTCGTGATTGTACCATCGAATAAATTGTCTGCTGTTAGCACGCCGTGTACGTGAGAATTTTCATCGTCTAAAAGAAATAGAATTTAATGTAAATTTAATTAGTCGTTAATTTTAATTGAAAATGATTAATGTGCGTGAGATGAGATTCTTTCATGCAAGAAGAAGTTTCAAAAAAATTTTTATTAAGGAACTTCCGTGGGTAGAAAGAAATTTTTCATGTCAAAACTCGTTTTTTTTTCATCTTGTTAAATATTTTCTTGTGGAATTTTTGCTCATTTTTCATTGATTCTTATATGAAAATTCAAGCTTGACTGATTGGCATGAGAATCATTTTAAATATCAAATTTCGAGCTCATGTTGCAGAAGGGCATGAAGAATTTTTGAATTTTGATTAAGGCTGCTTGAAAGCATTTTTTTAAAGATATTTTAAATTTACTAAATCAAGTGTTGCAGCTTGTGTGGTTTAAGGACCACCTTCTTCGAAGAGCATATCTCTAGAAAATATACCTGAGCATAAGACTCGCGTTGAAACTGGTTGCATGCGTATGACGGATAGCCGAAGTAAAATAAGTACCTCGGTAGTCGAGTGGCAGGGATCTCTCATCGAGTGGTCAGAGACCGCCTCTTTCGAGGTCGTTGGTTGTTCGATTCCCATCGAACTCGACTTACTTTACAATTGTATACACACATACGACAGTTGTAGGGAGATTACACTTCTGACGATTTGAAAATCGTTGAAAAATATAAGAATTAGCCAAAATATCAGCAACATTAAAGCACAAAATAAAATATCCAAGAATTTAAAAATTGACGTAAATTTACCTAGAAAAAGGTTAATGAATTTCTGATTTGAAAATAATCACAACGCAACAGGTGGATGAATATTTTTTTGTTGGATGATAAATTGATTGTGGTTTGCCTGACTTACTGAAGGTAAGTATGATCTACCCACAAATTGATGGAGTTTCTGAGGCAGAAATTCAATTAATTTTGTTGAAAATAAATTGAAATAAATATTTTGAATAATCTTTTAATTAGTAAATACTCAAAATTTACTGAATTAGCTCTCAAAATGAGTCATTAAGTTTTGAGTTGATCGCAAAAAATCAAAACACATACCTACAAAAATCTAGACGACAGCATCAAAATGACATTAACTGAATTCAAATTAAGACCACAAAATGAACCGAATTAGGCACAAATTTTATTACATTAGCATCTCTCCATTAAATGCAAATTTAACGACCATCCACAAAATATTTTTGACTGCCTCAAATTATTTACGAATTAATTGATTTCCGTCATTTGTTTGCGTATCATTAAATTGTCATCATTGCTTAAAATAATCAAATAAATTTTCACATCATTTCCTCTATGAACAAACATTTTATGTCCATCATTTTGAGGATATTAAATTTTTTTCATGCTGCATTTTTCAATAACATATAAAATACATTTTTTTATGCTTGCAAAAATGTCACAAAATGCTTTCGGATGAACAGTTTTTGCTGAATAATTTCAACTCATTCAAATGAGTGACATAAAATTGTCACATTCACATGTTATTCATCGTATGCTGATTGTTTTTGAATGAGAAATTTTTTTAATTTACTTTTGAAATATTTAATTTGTTTTTTCGATGACAGTTTGGTTTGTGTAGAGGAAGATCTCAGTTTTGGATATTTTTGTGATAATTAATGGCATGGATACATTCGACAATATAGCTCCAGTTGCTTAGTTAAGAACAACCAAACATTTTAAATAATTCATCTCGAGATTTCAGCTACAACAACTTGTCTTTTGCTACAAAAAAATTCCCAAACCTTAAATATTTATAAACTTTAAGCGATGATACCGTATTGCAATCTAAACAGCTCTAAGGATTTATTGTTTACCGTAAAACTTGCAAGCTGCATTGAAAAAAAATTTCAATTAAAATCAACACTCGAGACAAGTACTCATCCTGATGACTTTTAAACAAAGTAAATACGAGATAAACATTTTTTATTCACTATGTTTAAAATGTGTCAGGAAAACATGCAAAGTATACGAGCATAAAAGAACTCGATCTACATAAATTTTAATTTTGATTGACGATGAAAATTTTTGTTTTTTTGTTTTTTCAGAAATTTTATTTCAATTTGATGGGAAAATGTTTTTACGGTTGGTTTTTCCTGACACATTTTATGCTGATGGTGAGCTTTTGGTTTTGTGTTGGATGTGAAATTTTTGAATATTTTTCGATGAGTATTTTTAGAATTGAGGTTAGGTTGCAATCGGTTCTGTTTTGGGGGGCTATTAATGTTTTTATCAAATGATGTGCGAAATGATTAAGCTTAAGTTTTAAGTCTGAAGCATCTGAGAACTTGAATTAGACTTAGCTTGAATAATCTATTGTATAAAACTTATCCCATCCCAGCCACCCATTCCAAAATAGAACCAATCATCGTCATCTCTTGTATTTCTCTTGTTTTTCGGTCAGTGAATAAATTAAATGCCACTGCCAATGCGGATTGATGAAACAATGGGAAACAATAAAATCGTTCTCATCATTCACTGAGTGAATCTGAAATTTAATTGATTATTTTCTGATGCATATTTAATGAGATTTTTTTTTCGATAATTCAATTTTTTTTTTTATAAAACAGCAATTCATCACTGCCAATGGTTGAGTGAGAGGGGGAAAAAGAATGTGTGGTATAATGAGTACAACTTTATAGAATGTAGTACAATACAAAAAGTTTCAGCGGCATTCGTGTGTTCGGGAACAGTAGCAGAGCTCAAAGAAGACTCGGTTTTGAGTATAGTCGAGTCAACTCTATCGACTTCGAGCTCTGGTCAAAATAGACCTTTTAATATCCTAGGAAATCTTAATGACCCCTTTTTACAATGTTTCATCTCAAAAACATCATAATAGACACATCCAACTCGCCAACAACCCTATTCCCTTAACCCCATCAGCCACAAAGTCAAAACATGATCCAACATCCAATTCCATATACAATATAGTCTGGATAATGAGAGAAATGTGAACAAAAGATTATTAATAATTATGAGATTGATTGCAAGCTCACATCATTTGATTGTTGAACTTTTATTGCTTTATTACGTGAATTTAATGACTTCTCATTCAGTGATTTTTTTCTTCTCTCAATTTCCATTCAGCAAAACACATGAAATTGAATTGTTCATTAAGAATTTATAGATATGCACGCATGAATTGTGAAAATGTGAATAAATGAAGCATAGCGGCATAATGGAATGTCAAATTATTGTTATGAGGCTGTGGAACAAAAGGCTGTTAAGAATTAATTAGCTTTAGACTGGGTTTTCTATGGAAATGTTTATGCTTGGGATTTTGTACTTAGAAACTCTAAGTTGTGAGGAAATGTTTTCAGATTTGATTGATCAAGGATGTTTGTAGATTTCCCGAATAGCACATAGAACTCTGGTATGGTGCTGGGTTCGAATTGAGTTCAGCACCATGTCAGAGTCACACCGACTTGGTTCCGGATTTCTATTTGATTTACCGACTTGTGCTGTTCGGGTTTGGTTTAGTTAATAATAAAATTCACCCAAATTCAACCTTACCATGCGAAAAAAATTTCAAAACAACTCATGCATACCCTCTCCCACCAACCAATAAGGGTGTTCTACATTGTCAATTTTACGCTAATTGAGAATTGATATATTGCTTGTGCACGACCTTCAAATAAATTGACACTAATGTGAAACCGTAGAAAAAACAATGTCTTATGTGTTCTTGTATCAAGTACGCTTCGTTTCATCCATAAGGAGTTTCGTTTTTCTGGGAATCGGAGTTTGTGGAATGATTGGAATTTTTAAGCGGAGACAATTCCTGAAATGTATCACATAATCTTGATTTTTAAACAAGCCAAGCTAGACTTGTTGACTGGATTAAAGAATTGTAATCCACAACTACACAATAGAATCATTTAAAAGCAAAAGAGATCATCAAAAAACCTCCAAATTATTCATCATAAAACAACATCCTTGCTTCAATATCTAAATCCAAAAAGAATTGCTAATAAATTTTTCACAATTTTTCCATTTGTCGAAAATTCGATTTTAGATCCCATTCTATACAAATGACAAAACAAAGCATAAATCAGCATACCCAAATTTATTATGGATGAAAATTTAGTTGTGCATTTTTAAAAATTCAACATCCGATTTTTGTTTGATGAAATTTTAATGAATTTCCTCTCGAGACAGTTTTCGCATGAAAATAAAGTTTTATTGACATTGGCTGAACAGACTTTTTTTTATCACGTCGATCGATTTGCCTTATTTATTCTTTTGAAAATTCCTTTGAGCCGCAGAGTCAAGATTTTCCTTTTTGTTTCTCGAGTTGCCTCAAAGCCATTTTAATTTGAATTATTAAACGGTTCAGTTTCATATTTCTTTTCTTTTTTCCATGAATTCGCTCATTTCCACTGAAAAGGCTCCAGATGAGACTTACTGTTTTATCATTCTTTATGCAGTGTGCTTCATTTATTCTCAAGGTTTTCTTGGAGGCAATGAATAATAATTTTGAACTTTATGGTTTTGTATTTTATGAATAAAATATTTTTTGGGGAAGACTTCTTACTGGGATTCGGCTATAAAGTTTGTAGTTTTTGAAGCTAGTAGTGTCAATCTTAGAGTTCAATTCTTTTCAATACTAGAAAACCAAACCTTGACTTCTCCACTCTTGCAAAAAAATCTCCTAAACAGAATACAGTCTAAAAAAATAACCTCAATTTATCACTCACAGAATCACAGACATTCCCACATAAATTCAAATCATAAGAATAAGTCAAATTTTATTAGAAATCTCATAACTAACCCTCTCCCCTTCTTCATTCCTCATTCAAATCATCACGAAAAAAGCCTTTCCTTCCAAGAACAAAGGGAAAAATTGAGATGAAACTCAAGTCATGCGTGGATCATAAATTCAAAGAGAAATGTGCTTTAGCAGCAGCATAGATCAATGTTTATGTTGGTCATTTATTGATGCTTATCATGTCTAATTTAATATTGTCTGTCAGAAGGTTTTATTTATAG